ATATATAGTATTTATTAATTATTTAAAATAATTATTTATATAAGTTTATTGCATTTGATTATTTTTTGTTTTTTTAATAAATTTTTCTAAACTATTTAATAATACTATTTGTTTTTTTACATTATTTTATTGAAATAATATTTTCTAAATTTTTTAATATATTATTAATATCAACTATTGATGTTTCAATACTATCATCTATCTTCATCTTATTTATTTCATTATCTTTTTAATTAAATATATTTTTTATTTTCTTAATAATATTATTATTATTTAGAATTTTATAAATTATATTTTCTTTAAGAATTATAATAAACTTATCAATTTTTATCTTATTTGATAAATAAAATGAAAATGAATTAAATATTATAATAAAATTATTCAAATTATTGATGGTATTATCAAGATTGTAAGAATCATTAATATTATTAATACTATCAGTATTATAGTTAATATTTTGTTATCAATATTATTGTTGCTATCAAAATTATCATTACTGTTATTGATATTATAAGAATTATAAGTAAAAAGAAATTTTATTAATTATATTTTAATTAACAAATATGATTTTGCTATAAAGTTTTTCAAAATGAATTCTATTTCTTTTTTTAAATTTATATAATTAACCAACAAAAAATTGTAATTTATTTTTAGAAATATTTAATTTTTGTGTTAATTTTTTTCTTTTTTAGTTAATAACATATTACTTAAAATAGTTTTATATTGATAAATAAGTATAAATTCTTTTAAAATTAATTCTAACTTTGAAAAAGTAATAGATCTATTTTTTTTTATTTGAATCTATAGATTAAACAATAAATTGATTTTTTTTATCTTTAAGAAGTCTTGTAATGATTGATATATCAATTTTTATTTTTTATTTATTTTTAATCTAAATAATATATTCTTTTCCTGTTCTTTTATTATTATATGCATATAAACAAAATTCATGTTTTTGAATATTAGAAAGTATTATTATTTTTTTTTTTTTGGATAATATGACAAAGAAATGTTTTTCAATTTGATAATTATAAATAATATAATATATATATAATATATAGCATATAATCACTTGAATTAATTTTATATATAAAAATTTTAAAAATTTAATGCATTATTAAAATATAGAAGCTGCATTTAATATTATAGATCCAACTTGGAACCACAATAAAGAGTGTATTTAGAGAAGGTGTACATTTAGGGAAGACTTTCTGTACTAATATTATTAAATTTTAATTTGAAAATAAAAAATATTTTTTAAATTAATTAAATTGATTAAAAAATTATAATTTTATAGTAAAGTTTAATTTTGTTTTTAAAAAATTAAATATATAATTTTACTATCTTAAAAAAGAATAATATTTGGTTTTCTAATTTATATGGAAACTTTATTTTATTGATCTGCGCTCAACGTCATTTAAAAATTTTAAAAAAATCTATAAATCGTGTAATGTGTGAACGTACAGTTTCTTTCTGGTCTAAGAACCATTAAAAAAAAATTTTTTTTTAGTTCAAATGAAACTAGACGCAAAAATGTTACGCTATATGAACGCGGAAGAGTTCCGTGTTCTTACAGCAGTAGGTCCTATGATTATCTTAAAAAAAAATTATAAAAAGAATTGGGATCTTTTCAACTGCGCTCATTTAATTCAAAGGTCGAAATGGGTTCTAAGAATCATGAAGTCGTGCCAACCTCTCTGGTCGCCCAAATAGCAGGATTACGACATGGGGGTAGTCATAAAATACTAGGTGAATTGGCTAGGAAAAATCTCGTATCCAGGGTGAAGAATGCGAAATGTAGGAAATCTGTTATTTAAATCAATGACGCGACTTCTTTATTAATTCATCTATTCTTATTAATACAGATGATGGATATAGATTAACCTATGGTGGATACGACTATCTGGCACTAAAGACATTTGTAAAGCGTAACAGTGTTTATTGTGTGGGAAATCAGATTGGAGTCGGCAAAGAATCAGGTATGCACACCGAAGCACTAGAAGAAATCTACGCGAATTTGTATTTCTGACAATAATTGTGTAGATATCTACATTGTCGCTGATGAAAACGAAAATCAATATGTTCTAAAGATACACAGGTTCGTACAAATCTAAACAGATCAAGATAGATAGATAGATATTTACTAGATAACCATTTGTGTTATCCATAGACTTGGCCGCATTTCATTTCGGGCAATTAAATCAAAACGTGATTATCTTCAACACCGAAAATCTGCGTCTTGGATGTACATGTCGAGATTGGCAGCTATTAAGGAATTCTCGTTTATGAAGGTGGGTTTGATCATTTACTGTGATTCTCTCGGAAGAAGATTGATGTTAACTGGAAAATTTTTATGGTTAGGTATTGCATGAAAACGGTTTTCCTGTACCTGAACCAATCGATAATTCCCGACATTGCTTAATAATGGAATTAATTGATGCTTACCCGTTGTACGTTTCCGAAAATCTTGTCATATTTTGGTAGACAGGTTATGCTATTTTTAAATTTCCTTTTATGCATATGTAGACAGCAAATAACTAAGGTGAAAGACCCCGGAAAGCTTTATTCCGACTTGATGGATCTTATTGTAAAGCTCGCGCAGTATGGTCTTATACATGGGGATTTTAACGAGTTCAATATTCTCGTAAAGGAAAACGGAGATCCTGTGCTGATTGATTTCCCGCAGATGGTGTCAACATCACATCCAAATGCCGAATGGTTAGTCAAGTTCGAACGAAACATCTATCTAGACATATTCGAAATTGAATTTTGTTTATGACTCTAGGTATTTTAATCGGGATGTGGAATGCATAAGAACCTTTTTCAGAAAGCGGTACAATTATGAGAGTATGTTATTCCCCAAATTTAAACTAGACGTAAATCGAGAATTTGATCTGGACGTTCAAGTGTCTGCAAGCGGTTTCACCAAGCAATATCAACAAGAATTAGAAATGGTAGGTTAATTGTCTAGTGGTTCCCCAGGACGATGGTCCCCGAACAGATCTATTAACATAAGTCTAATACCCTGATGTAGTATCAAAAGGAATTGGACGAATCGAAGGACGATGAAGTTGATGGTGAATTAAATAGTGATCATGATGAAAATTCGGAAGAAGATGTTAGCACGGTAATGATCAGATAGAAATTTTCAAATATAGATCCACAAATTTATTATTTTCAAAACTAATCATGCCAGGCAGAGGATTCGGCGGATCTTTCAACATCCGAGAATGAACTAAACTCAGATTCAGAGTCAAACCCGGAGATTTTGAACAACCGAGATTACAAAGCTCACATGGATATCAAAAAAAACTCAAAAAAACCACCCTCCAACAACACCAAATTCAGTGAGGCAGATATAAAATCCCGAGTAGTACAATCGTTAAAGAAAAAGGGTGATAAAAAGAAACGTTATCATTCAACGAGGAATAATGTTAAAGGAAAAGAAAAAAGAAAAGTCAGAGACGTGGCAAAGTATAACGGCAAGGATGATGGGATTTTTGGTTAAAATAATATATACCCATATTTCTTTTATCTCTGGTAAGAAAAATTTTCGAAACGTTTGATCTAATATATCTATTTATTATTATCCATCCTGGTTTCTATCATACTCACATACTAAATGGTGGATATCATACAAAAAAAATCTTATTATAATAATTAAACTAATAATTTGTTGATCAAAATTACCAAGTTAACTGCAAATACTTTTGACACAAATAACCAATACCGAATAGAATGAGTTCTGCTTTCAATGTACAAAACTTAAGAATTTCCGATTTGACCGACAATCCAATCCAGACCCTCAAATAAACTACAGAGAAGATGCATCAATTATTATTTAAAATGTGAATACATAATAAAATCATCGTCAATTATCCAATATATAACTTACCCTTCGCCAGTCAAAGCACAACACGCCTGCATGCACAAAAGTTAAAATTTGTAATTATTTGGATAATTGCGTATGAACTTATATATTTCGTGATGTGATCACTTTATATGTTAGGCTCGAATCATCAATTATTCGATTAAAATATGTCGCAACAACCAATATCGCTTCGTTATCAAGTAAGAGATTTGTACAAAAGGGTAATTCCAGTACTTGACAAGTAATTGATGACTGCATGTTTCGTGAATCAATCGTCTGTCATCCGAATTCTAATTGATGGCATGTTTAAAATAGCTTTTGTTCCTCGGTAGGGAGTATCCACTAGGTTATTCATATTTTCGTCCAAGGTTAAAAAAGGCATTCTTGAAAAATCGCGATTTAGCAAATGACGATGAAATAAAAAATGCAATTGGCACTGGTGAATACGTTGTTAAAGGTATGCTTCATTGGTGGTTAATATCTTTTTATCACCATATTCTCGACAAAGAAAAATCGGATATAATGATTAAAATACTTTTTATTATCTCCTTTTGAAGAGCTAGAGGCATTATACTATCTAAAGAAATATCGAACACTTAAGAGATCGTATTATTGATGCTGTTCACCAATGGTACCAACAAAAAACTCTAATGGCAAAGACGACATTTTTCATTCCTGTGTCATGTAACACATTCTACAAAGATATCTTCAAATAAAACTATGACAATTGTTGTTAAATATGATTCTATATTAAAACATTTTCACTCTACATAAACGTATTTATCTTTATTTTCCTTGGTTCTCTTTAAATATTGCTTTTCCAATAATTGCTCAATGCATTTTTTGATCATTGGTATACTGGGATTAAATCTATCTTTCGCCTGGTCTATGACTTCTTTCACTAGTAGATTATGCACCAGAGTCTTGCGTGATTTCATTACACGCACGATCGACGCCTATATTTGGAAAATGTATTAATAAACTTACTTTGATTATCATCTGTGTAAAATTTTATTACCTGGAGATATAGCTTGCGATCTTCGTCTACAGCTTTTCGTGTGGCATCATTTTCCTGAGGTGTTTCGGCTTGCAAAGAAGAACTAACCTTGATTTTGTTTCGTTTACTATGTATGCATTCATATATATATTTGCGGTTAGTAGAAATCGAGCAGGTTAACTAGAGAATATGATTATAAATATGTATTATATTTACTTTGTAAAGTTCATATTCAATTTTATCTGCGTTTCGTCTTGAAGAGTGCCAGCTGGGATTACGAGAAAAACTGATAAGTCGATCATAGGCTAAACAACCGAAGAAAGTGTAGTGGATTCAATATTACCGTTACTTTCTTTAAAAGAGATAAAAAGAAATATATATATATATATATTTATTTATTTAAATACCTTCATTACCCTCTTTAACTCTTGTTCACTCAGTCCAGTATGTTCCCTTATGTCTTTAAAAGAATAGGCGTCTGCATTGTTGAACAAAAGCAGAACGCCTAGTTGATGAAGCGAAACTGAAAACTCGTAACGTTTATCAAGATAATTCAATTTCACATCGGCTGGACGACATATATAATTGATAATAATTTGTTAACGTATAACCATCTCGAGTTTCGATAATTGATGTAACATAATATATACTACCTTTGGACAAATGCCACAGCCATGTCAACTTTCTTCCACTATGATGACCGTTGTAGAATGTTGAAA